TCATCCAATAGCAGCGAGAGCTCATTGATCCGCTCCGCAACAGTTGAGTCTGCTGAACGCGACCAATGATCTGCATTTCGTAAATGGAGATTCATTATTCTTTTTACCTGAATACACTATTTACGCTGTTCTATTTTAAGCCATATTTATTTGTAGTCGTTATACATATTCTCATTGCAGAACATGTTTTCCATCACTTTGGTAAACATTGATAGTTATCAGTCATCTCCGATACCCGAGCTGGATGTGACTTTCTCAGAGTTCCGTGGTTCCGAGGTAAAAAAAGTACCGATAATCAGAGCATTCGGGTCAACTGCCACAGGTAAATGAATAAAAGTAGCAGATAATCTTATTGTCATGTTTCATAATATGTTACAGATTATGCTAAACTGTATATTATCAAAAAATTTTGTTGTTTATAAAGTTTGACGGTTTTCAGGAAAGAAGACATGCTTGCACATTCATGGTGTCTTTCCATATCTATATGTCCCATGTACTGTCCAGGAGAATACGGATAGCTATGCTTATCAACTAGCTGCAGCGATTGATTCTGCACTGAATACATCTTTTGGTTCCACTTTATCTACCAACCAACATGTATACAAAATTCAACGGGTATCAGGAATGTAAGCAAAATTTAAATTGTGATGGATCAGTAATTTTTATTTTTAAGAGATAGAGAAGAAAGATATTTATTTTTCTTCATTTATTTATCATTTTATTTTTTGCATAATATGTATGTTACTTTGTAGACCTTTCTATGGTTATCACGAGAAAGAACATTTGTTTTTTAAAATATATTTTTATAATCCAGCCATAATTAAAAGGACGGCAGATTTGCTGCAGGTAAATGGTTCTGCTTTCTTTTGTACAGAAGATATAATCATATAGTACTGTATGCAATTTTAAGGAAAAGATATTGAACAATTTGAAACGAACTTTTCAGAATGGTGTTGTTCTCAATCAAACTCTGCAGCCATATGAGGCACACATTCCTTATATTCTACAATTTATGATAGATTACAATCTATATGGCATGAATTTAATCAATTTAAATAGCGTAAAATACAGACACTCTTTGCAAGGATGTGCAACAGAAAATAGCCAAAACAGGTCGTCAATGGATTTTCTAGATTCAGAAGCATATCTTCCGATATCGATAACAAGGCAAAGCATATGCGAGTTAGAAGTGGACGTGCATGCTTCGGAGATTCTGAATAGACAAAGTGTCAATGAAAAATTAGAGCTGAATCCTGGTCTTGCTGCGATTTGGAATGAAGAGAAAGCAAGGAGAGCCGAAACTGGTCTAGAAAATGCAAAGTCGCAACTATTATATCCCAAAACTCCCAGCAAAATTATTCTACCGCCAACTAGCAATGATGTTTATCAAAAGGATCAATTATTAAAAAGACTGAATGCTATATCACAAGTATTTCACATTGTTCCCATTAGATTATGATAATTTAATTAATATACATGTATGTTAATTCGATTTAATTCTTTTATTTTAGACCAACGAGACAATTACTTCAAATACGACGGTATCTTCATATCCTATTGAAGTAGAAGATAATGAAAATGTCTTAAATGCATCTCATATTTTAAACCATAACGAATCTCTTGTATCTGAAGAAAATCTTGAAAGAACAGTTTCTGATAATTATAAGTTGTTGCAATTGGTATCGTCAGCATTTTTAGATGCAACTCGAAGTCAAAGTAATGTGACGGATACTAGTTTTTGTAAGTATGTTTTATTCACTGGTACATTGCTGAGTCTATTATAAAAATATTTACATTAAAGTAAAAATAAAATTTATTTTGTACATAGTGGATGCAGATGATATACAACTGGTAGATATGCTAGCTGATTTAGCGGAAGAAAATGAGATTGCGCATAATGTAGATGACGATAGCGTTCTTGGATCTCAATATTCTATGTTCAACGAACGAATTAAGGACGATCCAGAGGAAGAAGTTGAGGATTTAAATATCACAAGTTTTGATCTAGACTTAAGTTCTTGGGAATCAGTGTACAATCAGAGATCCAATCAACATGACGATACAGTAAAAGTTGTAGATAATAAGCAGAACATCGAATCTGCAGATGATTCAAACGTTACTGAAGAAAATGTCTGTGATGTCACGCTCGTGAATTTTCCACAAGTTGATGGAGTTGATGATTTATATGAGATGGTATCAAAATATGAGGAAGAAATTACAAATAGTTTAAGTAATAAAGATAATATAGCATGTTGTATGACAATTCAATGTCTTCCTAAAATAATAATTAAAAATTCTAAAAATAATTATGTTCCTGTCATTAATGCGAGAAAAGCTGATATTATGTGTACCTTATATAGAAATTTTAATTTAATGAATATTATTAAATATATAAATGTAAATGATCCCAATAGATATCACTTAAGAAAAGAATTATATAACTTTGTAAATAGATATTATTTTCATATATTTTTTAAAACAAGCAAACATTTGCAAGGTATGAATGTAAAGCATCTGCATACTGATATAAGTTTTGTCGTAAAAAAGAAACGTTATTTAAAAGATAATAGAAAAAGAATGATATATAATAAGAAGACAGAAGAATTATATGCTGCTCGATGGCAGTTGCAATTAGATCATCGGGACTTAGATGTTTATGATATAGATGAGATAGAAACATTTGAAACCACGGAACATGTCAATTATATAACAAATTATGAAGAAAACAAGTGTAATTGTGAAGAAAAATTGAAATCTTGTATTCAAGAAGAAGGCCTTTTAAATAGCAATCACTGCTTTTATCACAAACTGTATGATTTTTCAGTAAACTTTACAATATCGAATGTTGATGGGGCTACAGCTGACTCGAGCGATGCTGAATCCGAAGCGGATGTGACAATTGAAAGACAAGAAAAACGCGTGTGCACTTATAAGTCTGATAAAAAGAACGCACCACAAAGTATAGTTCAGATTACTCCGAAGAAAAGAAAATTTGATTCTCAAGACGACGATCAGGAGTCATCCAGTAAACGAAGAAACATAGCTAAAACGCCAAAAAGAAAGTATAATTCTCCAGGCAAGGCGCCTCGAAGTCCACAGTTGTCAGGAAATTATTCGCCTCTTAATATTACTATTACATCTCCGAAATCCAGTAAAAGTCCTGTTCGACAATGTGAATCTCCGAAAAGAAATCAATACATGCCGATACCCGATATTCCTTCAACTTCTGCTACACCAAAACACAAAAAACGTCCGTTACGTGTGAGCTTGCTTCGTGAAAAATTTTTAAACTCGGATCTAGGTAATTCAAGTAGATCCGCTTTAACCGAATAGGAATTCTGTTATGTAATTAGATTTACGAGTATTCTCATCGATCATATTCTCATCGATCCAAATTCATATTGTAATTCAAGTAATTTTATTATATTTATTAAAAATTAATGTTTTATGGAAATAACATGCCATGCTTTCAATTTAATAGTGATGTTTTATTAATAATAGATTTTTACTATTTTTTATATATAAGTGAAAGATTTTTCTTTCTTTTTCAGAAAATGA